CTAAATTCGTTGACTTATCCGCTACAACAACCTTCGGATGACCGCCAAACCCAGCCCCCTGACACGCCTTACATCCGCAGCGAACAGTACTGTAACCATGTCCGTTCAGACGATTTATAGATTCACTTTAGGTGTGCAGAGTGTGAAGGCAGACGCAAAAGAAGCTGGAAGCACAACTGAAGGTCTGAAAGTCACTTAGGAGTTCCTTGATTCACGGGTTTTTTCACTCCTGAATTTCAGAAAAAGGAGTGTTCGCAAAAATCGGCGACTTCTTCAAGGGAATCGGAAAGTGATCTGTGATTATGTGGATGTATGCCAAATAAAGTTTTGTTTGGAACTGTTCATAAACAACCAGTGACTGTCAACTACTTTTTGCGAAATTGCATGAGAGCCTGACGGCAGGCCCAAAATATTAGGTTGTCCGGAAAGTTCTCAGCGTTTTGTGCACCTATTTTTTGTACATTCACTGCTGATTAAAAACTCATTCTGCCTTGCTTCTCAGTAGCCAATCCTGTAGAGAATTTCTTGCGCTATCTGATGGTATAATTGCCGTTTCACCATTGCTTATTGAACTCCCTTTTTTCAAGATTTTTTCAAACATGTGAAAAGAGCACTTCGGACGATTTTTTTCTTCGACTATAAATTGGGGCAATCCGCAACCGAAACAGCTCAGCAAATTAACCAGGTGTGGGGCCCCAATAGTGCTTGAGAAAGCACTGTGCTGCAATGGCTCAACAAAGTTCGTTCAGGAGATTTCAGCATTGAAGATGAACCTCATGGCAGTCGACCTAAAGCAATATCTGACGAGGATTTTGAGGAGATTTTGAAGGCTGACCCATCCCAAACAGTTCGAGAGATTGCAGAAAAGCTAGGCGTTGGCAAATCCAGTGTTGTAGATTGTTTGAAACGCATTGGGAAGGTGAAAAAACCCGACAATTAGGTGCCCCACAATCGGAGTGACCGGCAGGAATCGGCACGTCTCGAGGTTCCTTCTTCACTGCTTTTGCGCAAAAGAATTGACCCGTTTTTGAACGGATTTGTCACCTGTGATGAAAAATGGATCATGTATGATAACAGGAGACGTTCCGGACAGTGGTTGGATTTGACGAACCACCGAGGTAATTTTCAAAGCCGAACCCTCACGAAAAAAAATTCTGGTCAGGTTTGGTGGTCATCGGCTGTTGTAATCCACTATAACTTTTTATCGCCAGGCCAAACCATCACAGCAGAACCCTACTGTGAACAAACCGACCAAATGTTCCGAAAATATTGTCAGCTGCGCAGCCAACACTTATCAAAAGAAAGGGGTGCCGATTCTATTTGCATGACAACGCCCGCCCACACGTTTCACAAATCACTATCCATAAATTGAACGAATTGAGGGTTGAAGTTCTACCTCACCCACCATATTCTCCAGACCTTTCACCAACCGACTGTCACCTTTTCAGACATTTTCAGAACTTCCTTGCTGAAAAATACTTCATCAATTAAGACCAGGCAAAAAAGACCTTCGTAGATTTCGTGGATTCTCGACCACCCAGTTTTTTCCACACTTTTGGGATTTCTCGACTGCTGTCACATTGGCAAAAGTGTGCTGATTCGAATGGTGCCTATTTCGATTAAATCCGATGAGTATTAAAAAGTTACGATCGTTTAAAGTGAAACACCCAAAACGCTGAGAACTTTCCGGACAACCTAATAGTAGTAGTCAGATGGGGTAGGCACAGTTTGACGACGGGAGGGGCATTCTGTACTATGATTTTCCCTAGTTCCGGTTTACAAGTCTCACTCTGGCGAAACCTGTGAACTCTTGTGAAGCTGGAGCAAGCTCATCTAGCCATCATGGTAAAACCTGTCAACTCGAGAAGAGGCTGCCTAGATAGGTCGACACGTCGATGGGAAGTAGCGTAAGTGCAAAATGCCCCCCGTCGTCAATCAAACTGCACCGTCGGATGGTACTGCGACGTACGGTAACAGCGCGGTGTAGCAGGTGTAGCAAAGCCGTGAAATGCTTAGTTAGAGAGAGCAGGGACAGTGCGTGTTCAGAAGCGTAAAGCGAGCGAGAGCAGCCTTGTTGCCAGCAATGTTGAAATCCACAGTCTCGCTAAGGCAATTGGTGTGAAACCTTGACTTGGCTGCACGCTAAATCACGTAACCGTCATCAATACCAGCGATAAAAAAACCACTTCTCATTATTGGGTATTTCTCTTATGTCGAAAAGTTATCAAAACAAGTTTCGGGAACTCGAAAAATGGGAATTTTACAATTTGCGAAGTTACTGATACTTATTAGGGGTTGTGTTGGGGGGTGCAGAGAAAATATGAAATATTGAGATGTTCATCCTGTACGGTGGTTTCCCAACGGTCATCCTGGGAGCCGTTATGTGAGAAGGACGTAAATTCATGGCGAATTGCCTTAAACTGTTGATCGCCATTTCCTCTTCGCATCATCCTCTCGCGATCAATGCGAGTGCCCGTGGATCCGAAACGTTGGAATCCTCCAAAGCAGACGCAAATTCCATCGAGGCAAAGAAGCCAAGTAGGATGAAAGCAAAACTGCCGAACCTCACTGGAGCGGGAGCGTTACTAAGTTGAAGCAGGCAACACCAATCAAATTGAAAACATTTCCATCGGATCCAAAAGTACCACTCTCTCCCCAGAAATTGAAAACATTCATACTGTTCTTTCTGTACGGTTCACAGATACTGGCCTGGTCCAATCTATATGGTCGCGGATCGTTCCCTGAGGTTAATCTGCCATCTATCTGGAGGCGCGGATCTACGCCACGATACTGTAAGGCATGTGCTACCGGCTACGTCCTGAATAGGTCATTGCGAAAGGAATAAAAGGAATCCTTCATCACATAGCAGTAACTTTCGACATGTCGCAGTATCCAGACTATTATTCCTACAAGCCATACCCAGATCTTTTCATAGGGACTCCACCTAATAGCCAGGAGTTGAATTCACGCACGAGGTACTTTTTATGCCATTCTTTATCCACTTTTATGAATTTTTTTTGAGTCGTTGGTTCAATGGTTTATGTTGAAGTGAATGTAACTCTACCCCGAATTCAAGAAAGCGACTTACTGCCATACAGTAATAGGGAGCACGACTTACTGCCATGCAAGTAATAGGAATGCAGTGGAGCGCCAAATCGATGATGCTTTGGCCAAGCTGGAAATCGAAGTGAACGAGATGAAAAACAGTCTAATGAACTTTCTATCACAATATAGATTACAAGTGGAGAAGATGGCTACTCTGGAAGAGTTGCTGGAGAAGGTCCTCGAGCGAACACCTGAGAAAGAACAAGGTGAGAAGTGCTTATTGCAGGTGTAAGACCAGACGAGCAACGGCCTGAATAATAGATTCTAGATTTTCAGAAATGCAGGGTGCAAATCACGAGTTTTAAGGGTGCAGATGATGGCAGTAGGGAGCAAATCTGCAAGGGATCATTGAAGGGATTCCTCGTTTGGGGTTGGTGAGGACTATAGAGAAGAGGATATTCGCTTGGACCTAATGGGGAGAAGCTCGTGAGATTCCTGTGTGGGCGAACCATTTTCAGTACCGTAATCTTAGGTTTCACGAAACCGAGAAGAATTCTTTATGCGGTCCACTGGCGCCTTCCATGACTCAGAACTGTCCTGGCTTGTAGTTTGTGAACTGCAAACGCAGGCTCTGCATAACGGATTCGAGTTAGCCGGCATTGAGGTGGCGATTCATTCCAGATATTCCCGTTGGATTACAGAAAAAGCGTTTGTACCGTACGATAAAGTGATGGAACTGTACAACGCCTTCTCGACAAATCCGAGAGCATTTGTGAGAGCGCTGGAAATTTATACTTATCAGGACCAAGTCTACGAGCTCAGAACAGCCGCGAGCAAACGGATATTCACCGCGATCCGGAGGTGAATTTCATTAAAAATAAGTGAGTTCTCTATCTGGTAAAATAAGTTGAGAAAAGGTTTTAATGATGCATATTTAGTGCCTCTTCCGTCATTTTTCCGTGCCACCTAATCTCCAAGAAGATGTCTGGAGAAGCGCCCGTACGTCGCTGAATGGTCGAAGTGGCCGTCTGAGGCGAATGATAAGAGCCAAGCAGATCAGTGGCTTCCGGACATCAACCCCTGTTTCTGATTTACTCGAGGGTCTAGTCCACTCGGACGGGCCTGCTGGCGAGGTTGTTTAAATATAGGTAAGTGCGCATTGTGGAAATTTGCTTGCTAATGAAGCATCCCAGAGTTCTATTGCTAATTACTATTTGAGCGACATGTATTTGTACGCTGAAATGCGGTTATTCTTATGCTTGTTTACGATCCATTGCCTCGTTGTTGTGTAACTTGTTTCCTTAGTGTTGTTGCTTTGCGTGAACTATTTGTTCTACCTGATGATGACTTTTAATGAAAACTTTCCAATTTTCATGATACACAATTTTTAGTGGCTGTTCGATACAGTTAACATCAAAGCTGGGCGAAAACCACCGACGGGGCGAGAGGGAGCAGAGAAATTGTTTGATTTTTCTCGCGCTGTATATTTCCGCGTTTGGTACCCAGTAAATGATTATAGGAACTAATGTGGATAATAAGTCATTGATTTGGCATTATAAAGTTTCTGAATGGAATGGCAATGTAATGGCTTTTATAACGGCACATAGAAATGATCATAAACGTAGTACATAAGACAATATTTAGCAAGTGATACAAAGCGAAAGTTGTGATGGACTGTGGAGGTGTTGGCAACTACACCTTTTTAAAATGCTTATTCAATTTCTGAAAATCTAGCAGCCTGCTACCAAGCCCCCGCGCCCCTCCAGCCAATACAAGGCTGCTCAGGACGAGAATGAGTGGACTCATTATGTTACCAACCTCGAAACTGCCAAAATAGGAAAAGGAAACCATTGAAAAATGAAAATTAATTGAAAAGTCATTAGTGATCGCAGGTTGATGTTAAGTATATTTTAGATTGTTAGTGACCACCACCCATTCAACGAAACCCAACACGATTAAGGAAGGTTGGTAGAGCCCCGCCCACCTGCATCTTCTCCGCCCTGTTTTATCGTATCAACTGCTCCTGCTGCCCAGTTTTTAACGTCCTTTGCAGCAGTTTCACTGCGATCAGCAACATTTGAGGCTAAAATCCATACATAGACGGAATTTTTTGGAAATGAACTTTGTAATACCTGCTGCTTTCGTCTTATTGCCTAACTCATCAGCTTTTTGACCAGCCGTATTCCCTAAAAAAGCACTTCTCCGTTGTTTGTTTTATCCCAAAAGGATAAACTGCAACTTACATGCTTCCTTCGCTTGTTCACTCACTTCCTGCCCTGCGCGCTTCAAGAATTTGCCAGTGTCTTGGGCTGAAATCTAAGTTTAAGGCAAGTTTTTCACGTTATGCTCCACTCAGTAGTATATGTTGCACTAGCATAAAACTGTCTTGTGGCGAAGGTGATCGTGCCACGAATTTTCTAGCATAGCGAATGAGGTATGGGTACTCTGGGAGTCACTCTACGTTCTAGTTCAGGTTCTGGCCAAATTCACCCCCGAAGAGATTGTTTGATGCAGCGTGGATCAATTTTCAGTGAATGGGTTACTGTAAAACCTTATTACCACGAGGGTATAATGCTGAACCGACCTTCTGGAGAAAGAAAACTTGATTGCCTTGGTGGAATACTACATTGTTAAATGTAGAAAGGGGAAGCAGTCACAATATACGCATGGGGATGACGCCATACATAGCACAAACTTCCTTTCCTATTTTAGGCGGAAAAGGGTGAGGGAAGGAACTTCCGGCGTTATTCAGTTTTTCTTCCGAAGTACCACTGAATCCACCTCTAGTCAGGGTTGTGGTATCATTTTGAATACGCTTCGACCTACGACTTTCAGGGACCAACCAAAGTACAAGTCCGTGCCCTTCTTTTCGCAGACAAGCGTGGACCAACTTACAGTACGAAACTAATCATAAGAAGGAATAAGGGGCTTAAAAGCCCCGGAGCCTGGGAAATGGACCTGGCCCAAGAGGTGTCACTCGCCCCCACAAGGAAAGAATTAAGCAGTGGAAATGCTGGCATGTCTAATCCCATCTAAAACCCTACACGATTGATATCTGCCGACGCTTACAAATGATGTTTTTTGTAGGCTGTGCCTGTCCTTTTTATGCAACTAATTCCGACCGTGAACGTAAAAACGACTAATCGAACAAATTTTCAGAAGCATTGGTACCTGCATTCTCAACCCAGTTGACACTGGTTTGGCCGGCATCCTGTAGTGTCTTCACAACACCTTCTTCAGGGCGAGCCTTAACAAGTGATAAGTTGGCTTGCTGGTGAAACTTGTGAGTTGCGCTCGAAAGGCCTTGAAAGTTGGCGTTGATGGGCACATGAACTCGCTCTAAATTCAAGAACGCCTGGCACGGTGATGCCGCACTTAAAGTATTCGCACGGGTCCAAGCTGGTTCAGTTTTGTCGCTAGTAGTCTGTTATACAATCATGTGACTAGTCTTCAAAGTCACAGAATTGAACTGAATGCTGATAACAGTTGCAAACGTGATGAAGCGCCTCCCTGGCGGCTTAGCCTAAGCTGGCGCGAAGATGTGCCCCATACCTACTCACCTGTTGTGTGCCTTCTCTCATGCTTCCAGGAGAAAGGCGATCCAATGACAGAATGATAGAGCTGCCTCACGCATATGGTTAACGAAGGATGGGCCTTTAGGGGTTCATCCCACCGCCAAAGGATGAAGGATAACGTCCACTTCGCTGTTCAGCCCTTTCTTGGGATGACACAGATTCTGCTCCCATTCACAATCGTAGTGGCTTATTGAATGCGATGTGGCCTTACAAATACAAACACTTGCTGGTGCTAGCCGATGTACAGTCAGTCAGGCAGTTCCAATTAATGTTGTCAATTAACTTACCCGGAGGGTAGATGGCTTGGTTGGCCTGGGCGAGTCGACGCGCGGTTCGACTTATAAAGCACGCCTGGTAATGTGTCGCTTGCCACCACCACATCTCGCCGCTACTTACAAAGTGAATGCATATGCAGGTGTCGCACGGACAACCATGTGAAAGTTTGACGTTGAAAAGCTATATGGTAGGACTTTAAGGAGCAGGGTTGCTCAAGTGGTTCCCGTTGAACTCAAGCTACACCACCCAACATGGCGTTTGTTTGTTCGCTTGTCTGATCTCTCGCCAAAAATTTCGGTGATTTTTCGCCTCTCACTCAGGTCTAAGAAGCCTTACTTATGGCCTCTTTAGCTTTCTACTTTGTTCTTCATGAGTTAGTCAACCAGCACATGCAGTTTTGTTTTCAATGCACTTCACCTACGACTTTTTCGACAACTGATCGCGAAATGTGATTACTAACTCTTCAACCTGACTTCCTCAATAAAGGATAAAGGATAAAGTCTTCGCCGTTGATCAATCCCTTTGTGGGATGCGGCACGCATTCTACTTCCATTCAGAATCGTAGTGGCTTATTGAATGCGATGTGGCCTATACAATGACTTGCGGGGCCAGCCGATGTACAAGTCAGTGCACTTGTCCTTTCAGACAAATTTGGTCCCCGAAGGGTAGAAGGTTTGGTTGGCCTGTGCGGAAGTCCGCTCAGTATTCGAACCCAGAAGCGCGCGGCCACTTGCCACTAAACCACCTCCGCGTGTCCTCTCATAGGATCTAGTGGAGAAATGCCATTTCAGCTAGTGAGGCAGCATCAAGAATGGAACAGCAGATTCAAAAAAACTATTAAATAAAAAAAACAACGCTGGAACAGAAACCTTACCGTAATCACTGAGATCAAAAGCAGTATGAGCAGAACTGAGCGCATAGTGTTGAGTCAGATGAGCGAAATGGATGTTTGGCAACGGTCGGCCGGCCTGATCCCGGATAATCAACTGGAAAATACTCACCCTGTCAATGACGACAATGGATGACACACATGAACAGAACAAACTGGTTACGGAAAAAGGATCCTCGAAAAGTTCATCGTGGGCCATGGCGTATTCAAGGCCAGCTTTAGGCTAGTTTTTTGGATTTTTTTTGGAATAAAATAAAATATTACGCACTGAGGGTAACGGGATCAGGGCACATTGTGCGTCATGAACCTCAGTAATGGGTTCGTATTTGGTCCCTGGAGGGAGGGCGGTCACATTGCCTCATTTGCCTTTGGAGAAAGTCTCTTCGGTTGTTGACTTTTTTTTTTCTTGTTTCAAGTGAGTACGCCACCCCTTCCCACTTCCTGCCCGCTAAGCGGCGCTTTTCTTGGGAAAAACTTTGAAACAATTCAGGAACTTGGGTGAACTGGTGAAAGGGATGGGGAATCGGAAGGGGGGGGGGTCGTCGTCTCGGAGGGGGAAATTTCGGAGAGGATCGTACTTCACAAAATTCCTCCAAAACGGCAAGACATGCCGTGAATGAGATAAGGGACAGCTATACATTGGAGGAAGGATTAGGCCAAGTATCGGGTGTTCCGTTAGAGGAGTTTACAGTGACTCATAGGTGACTAGTGACTGATTAGTGGTGATTAGTGACTTCTAAGGGCATTGCGAACCTTCACTGAAGGCTCGAACTGTTTGATCTCCACTACTAAGAAGCCGAAATAACTAGAACGCAGCTGAAGAGTTGAAAAGCAGAGTTTTCGGTGACGTATTGTTTGCTCTGATCTCTAATAGACTACCCGCGGAACACCTATACCGGGAGTCGGAAATGACTGGCGCCGAAAGAAAGGGAGTGTAACTGCAAGGCCATCTACAGCCCTAATGACTAATAAATCAGACTCACAAATCTACTAGATGACAGTGGCGCCTGAAGTCCTAAAGTTCATTATAGACAAGTTGTACCATCACCACCAAGGACGGTCCTTGCAATGTGCGAAGCGAATGGGTCCCCGCAGCTGCAGTTACGTACTACTTTCTTCGCTCAAAAGCGCACGGAAAGGGGCTGGAGGGTAGTGATACCCGGGTGTCGTCTCTATACTCCGCCCGTGCTGCCGTGCGCCTACCCATGGCTGAATGGCCACCACGGTTGTTCCCTCACTGAGTGGATGTCTCGCTGCGGGACCTAGAGTGACGCAAAGGCTACACCTTGAAGATTCAGCAAGCGGAGTATGGAGGGGCACTTGGATACCACAGCCCTACTGCGTCTAGCACTTCTGAACAAAGAAAGTGGTATCGGTGGACCCATTAACCTCGCACATGTGGAGAACCGTCATCGGGGTGAGCGTACGATTCGCCTTTAAAGGCAGTTGGCACGATAAATCGCTATACAGGTGTAGGATTTGTACAACTGGCTTAACAGAATTCCGTGACCTCGGACAGGCGCTGCGTGAAGCCTTTTCCAAGGAGGGTACCTCTATAACGCCCTATTGAGCAACAACTTTACGTCCCAAACGCCTTCCTTGCCCGCCCGCCCACAAACGGACGACCGTTTCTGACGCTCGTATTCATTCATTTGCTAAGCAAATTATGAAGCGAAGGGATTGGTATGAAGCGGCCGTGATGCTGCATGCATATATGGGTACACATATGCAGCCGTATCTTCGGTAGCGGTGATTGGCAAGATGCGTACGGGAAACTCGTCCGAAATCGATTTCAAGTCACTGAGAACGGAGGCTTTTTCTTCGCCGGATTTTGACCGTTTCACTCCGTTCTTTCGCCATTT